GAGACCCGCGGGGGCCTCGTGTCCCCGGGCAGCTGTCAGCTCCTGGCGCCTGGACTCGCCTGCACCCACTGGGCACCAGCGGGGACTGTCCAGGCCGAAACTGCAACCCAGTAAGGAAACGTCTGTGCAGCCATCACCGCACGACAGCAGGTGGCTTTTCTTCCTTTTTTGCCTTTTTTTTTTTAAACTGTGAAGAATTTCTTTTTGTTTCTGCCCATACCACTGACTAGGAGTGTGACCCAGAACCTAGTTCCCAACTAGGGACGCTTTTACAGCACAGTGGATGCTTGGCAGTACCTAGAGACTTCTGTTCTTCACGCTACGTACTGCGACCTTGTTTATCTTACAGATAAATTTGTCCGTTTCCACCGCCTTTACCCATTTCCCCAACCCCGGCCTCTGACAGCCACCAGTGTGTTCTGTGGCTGAGGTTCTGTGTTCTGAGGTCCACTTGTATAGACTCCATGTGTGAGAGATCGGACAGTACGTGTCTCTCCCTCTGCCTTGTCTCAATTAGCACGACACCTTTGAAGTCCATCCATGTTGTAGCAAATGGCAGGATTGCCTTCTTTCTTTAATGGCTGAATTATATTCAGTAAATATACCACAGTCTCTTCATCTGTTTACCTACAGATGGACACGTGATTTGTTTCCATGTCTCAGCTGTTGTGAGTGATACTGCCATGATCTTGGGGACCCAGACACCTCTTTGAGATAGCGCTCTCATTTCTTTTGGGTCTGTACCCACCAGTGGGATTGCTGGTTCACATGGTAGTTATAGTTTAAGTCATAATTGTTTGGGGAATGGGCAGAGTTCCCATCCTCCTTTAGAATATTGCCCAGAGTCCTCCCTGAGGTGAGTCCTCCCCAAGCTGACCCCTCCCTTCATTGCCCGGCATGCTCCTTTTGCCCTGGAGGCTCCAGCCTGCACCTCCAGCAGCTCCTCCAAGTCCTGCCCCCTGGGACCATGGGACCTCTGCAGCGCCCTGCCCCCTGCCTGAACCACCCTGCACCCAGGCGTCCCCAGGCCGGTTTTCCTGCCCGCGCCCTGCCACTGCTGCTGGGTCCCTTGGCCTGGAGTCTCCCTCCTGGGGCTGTCTCTCCCCCCAAAGCAGCTCCATCCACTGCTGTTCTACAGCTCAGTAGTTCCGGTGAACCTTTTTGTTGTTTGAGAGATATGATATTCTTTAAATGTACTTTGGGTGTTTTTTTAATGTTTATTTATGAGAGAGAGAGAGCAGGGGAGGGGCAGAGAGGGGGGGACAGAGGATCGAAGTGGGCTCCACACTGACAGTACAGAGCCCGACACAGGGCTCGAACTCACAAACCACTAGATCATGGCCTGAGCTGAAGTCAGAAGCTTAACCGACTGAGCCAGTGCAGCCTAGACAGTTTCTCCTATGCAGCTCTCTAGTGGCTGAAGGGTTCTGTGGGGGGACTGGCTGGGATTAGGTGCCATCTCGGTGCTCAGGCGCTGTATTCCCCTAACTACAAAGAGGACTCCGTCTAAAGTGGCTGCCGTGCTGCCCCTGAGGCGGGGCGGCGCACGTCCACTGCCGACCTCTGCAGAAAACCTCTTCTGATTCGCACCTTCCCCTGTGACCACCTGAAGCCAGCCTGGGAGACGTTCAGCTGAAAACATGACAGTGAAGCCTCCACTAAGGAAATGCTTGGGGGAAGGAGTGTTCTAGTTACTTTAATTTCCGGTTAACTGAGCACAACCAGAGTTTCTATTAGGAGCAGACGGCGTCCTGTGAAAGGAAGATGACAGATTTGGGGGGAGCCTTTCCTTCATTTAAATCCTTTAACTCGTGTGACTTTGTGCCTCAGTTTCCTCATCTGTAAATGGGGGACAGTAGTAGGTATTGTATTGTCTTGTTATTAGATCAAATGGGGAAACGTTTATTAGCCATTTAGTGACATGGCGGTGGTGACACGGAGCGTGGGGAAGTGCATTTACCTTCCTTCTTCCCTTGTTTTCGTGCTTCCCGGAAATAATTCCTAATACTTCTCCATACGGCATTTAAAAATCCCGTGTTCGTGTGGAGCATTGAAGGAGAGAGTAATGTTCCCGGTGGAGGTAGCAGTGACTCATTATTGTGGAATATTTTTGACAAAATAACCAATCATTAAGGATTCCGAGTGCTTCTATATCTCAGATACCATGGAATAGCAGAAATAAAGAGGCTGCTTTATTCTTTTTAAAATGCCTAGATATTCTTCTTTGCATCTCTTTTTCTAAAAATTGAATGTGAGGGAAAAATTGGCAGATGAGTCTGCATGACAGGTTAAAAATGCCAGATAAAGTACCTCTAATACTCCTCTCACTTAAAAAAGAGGTAAAAACCTTCTAAAAAGCAGCAAAAGAATAAGAGACTGAGGCGCAATGACAAAAAAAAAAAGAATGATTCACAGGCAGGAGATGAAGCCAGCTTCCAGGGAGCAGCTGTCGGATGTAAGGACAGTGGCCACGGGGGACAAGGCATCGGCCTGGGGACACCTGGAGCTGCACCACGGAGGGGCTAACTGTCACACAGAGCTGGAGACAGAGGGAGGAATTAATAGTTTGTCTCTGGAACAGTCTGCTTCCTTCCCTGCTGCTGTATGCAGAATACTCAGCAGCTAAGCAGGACAGACAGACAGACACAGGGCAAGGTTCCCCTCCCGGGAGGACAGCAGCTCCGGAGAAAGCCCTCTGCTCTCTGGGATTCAGGGTGTCTTCAGAATGGCAGTTCCCACTGACAAGCCACATGGTCCCACGGGCACCTCTCTGGGCTGTTCTTTTTAATCCACGTGCCCAGGCAGATTTGATTAAATTTTAAAGACAATGTTTTAAAAGAAGAGTGTGCTCTAGCATTGTGTCCTGTCGCAAGCACTGTCCCTGCTATCACTGCGAGATCTGGATTCTGGGCACTTGGGTAAAATTGTACCAAGAGGTGGTAACAGCAGCCTAACTAGCAAATGCACAGCTTTGCAGCCAGGAGCTCTCGCCCTGGTCTTGCTGGCGGCAGTTCTCCTGAGGTGAGGACACATCGCCATTGGCCTCATGCGTAGGTTACGGATGCTCCGTTTAGGAACTGCTACGCTTCAGTCTGCATCCCTCACACCCACTCCCCCAACTGGTGGCCTGGGCCCCGATTCAAATCGGACCCATGCTGCCAGCCGCGCAGGGCAAGGGCCTCTGGGACCAGGTGCATCGGCATGTGTGAAAGGGCTTTATGAAAATGGTGAGGGGCTGCTCCATCTTTCCGTGTGGCTGCAGTCCGTGACAGAGTGATACGGCTCTGTTCCACCCACCCCTGAGGGGCCGTCAGCTCGGCCTTGGTGCTTCTCTGTCCCGGGCACAGTCTCTCGGGGTCAGCGCACAGTCGAGGCCGCCGGGCCTGGGGCCCGTCCTCCCCAGGCAGTGACAAGTGCTGAGCACGGCTTTCCTGTCCTGCCACCGTGGCTGAGCGGTGATTAATGCCAAATTAGCACCTTGCTCAGTGACCTTTCAGCATTCACTGCTGCTCTCCTTCACTTCACATAACTATTTGCAAATATTAGCTTCTCAGGTCATTTCTCCTCATCAGCAGCTTTCACAGGTGACAGGCAGGTTGTTAATTTGATTGGCAGTTGGTTCCTGTCCTTTGCCCCATCACAAAAGTGTCTGGATCCCGGCATGGCCTCCGGAATCTGATAACCAGCCCAGCGGTCTCTACGCAGACAGAAGCAGAGAGCCTCAGAAGGAGGCTGTCGGGCCCTGTGGGGCTCGCGTGGGAGGCAAGGAGGTCGGGAAGGGAGAAGGCCGCCTCCACCTTCCCAGAGGCCCCAGGACACGCAGAAGCTGGCTTCCATCAATGCCATCAATGTATCGGTTAAAAAATTAATGTGCTGGCTCTGCCTGCATCAGGTTTTGTTTTGTCTTGCTTTTAATTCACATGAATCTTTAATTCAAAAATCACATACCAATTAAGTAGTGAGGCCAGAAGGCAGAGCTGGGGAGAATTAGTGGTGACACAAGGCCAGTCCTCAATTTCCCTATCGTTCTCTCAGCGACGCTAGCCCCCTACAGCCAGGCAGTCAAGGACTGTTCCCCACCAGAGCCCCCTGCACCCACTGGGCTCTCCAGCATCAAGTGCTAGATGAAACATTTCACATTCTCAGAATTTAAATTTCTTTTTATTTCCTGTCTCTGCCATCTCCACCCTTTATGGAGATTCCTGTTCTTGAAATGTTTGATCCATCTTCATTTCCCCTAAATAAACAGCAGTAAGGCACACTGGGGGTAGTTTAATTTCGATATTACATGTATTTTAGAGAAAAGTGGCAAAAATGTGTCCTGTTTTCTTTTTATTTTTTTCCTCCCCTGTCACCAGAAGTAGGAACTAAATTATTTATAGTTTGATACCTGCAGCACAGAGGTGGATTCAGAATATTTACTTTTCAGAGGAGAAAAAGGGATTGAAAGTACACGGCAGAACAGAACCCTTTGTTGATCAAATGTGTTTGCTCTGGGGAGTCCCATTTGGGCCCAAGTATGAAAGCTGGCCGCTTCCTAACACCACCAGTGCCCAGCAGAGTGCTCGACACAGGGAATATTTGTGGAGCTGAGCAGATTTGAAAAGAGTGGGTGGACTGGGTAACTCAATAAGCAGAGCCTCAAGTCAATTTAAAAAAAAAAGTCAGCAAGCATTTTGCACAACGCTCCTCACTTGGAGGCCCTTATCCACACGGAGTACAGGCGGCGGCATGAGGCTCTGGTTGCCCAATTTCTTGCCAAAACGTACACTTAAAGGGCCGTGCATTCCACCCAGGCTCCCCCGGGTCAGATCAAGGCCAGTGGCAGCATCTTTGCCCAAGGGCTTCTCACAGGCCTTCTTGGGGGGAGGTTGGGGCCGAGTCTCAACATCCAGGTGTCCTATCCGTGTGGCTTGACAAGACCCCTTGTTCATTATGTCCAGTATCCACATCCTCCCTACTTAGGAGAGGCCCACGGCCTTCTGCTTTCTCTGCCACAGGAGATGTTGGCACCCCTGAAACCGTGGCTCCCATCATTGTGATACCCCCAGGCAACAGAAGCGTGGTGGCCGGGTCCAGCGAGATCACCTTGGAGTGCATCGCCAATGCCAGGTATGCTGCCGGTCCTCCCAGGGGGGCAAGTCCCCTACAACTGCCATGAGGGGACTCTTGAGCAGAAAGACACATCACACGGGTGCTCGGCTCTTCTAGCAATGGTGGCCTTGTTTGTCCAGCAGGCCACAAGCACAGCATGCTGGGGGAGATGGGAAACCAAACTCCCAAGCCCGGGACTGCAGTACTGACGTTGACTGTAATGTTTATACAGGAAAGCACTGCCTGTCAGTGTAGCTGTGGGTGACAGTGGAGGGCTTCCTCCTCGAGACTCCAGCCAAGGGTGAGCCAGGAGTGGAATCCTGAGGGGAGAAGGGAAGGAGTGAATCCCTTCTCTCCTCTAGAGTCCTAGGTGCTCTCGGCCTGGTTAGCAGTCGCCCCAGAAATCGAGTGCCCGTGATCATGCCTCCCATGTAGCCATGTCCTCTCGTAGTATTTATTTTAAACATTCTCTTCCTGAGTAAATGGAATCATTAGCGCTTATGGTCCATCGCTGCCGCAATTAGCTATCCCTGCTCAATAGCCCTTGAGCAGAATGTATTGTTGATGCCTACCATAAGGGAGTAGAGTCATATCTGGAGTGATTTTTAAATGCCCACTGTTCAGCCTCCCATGGTTCCTGGTAGAATCTGCTTTGTCAGGCTTGTGCTGGATGCCTGAAAGTATTATCGTTGCCGTCCACACACACAATTATGTGTCACGTTAGTGACTCACAATTATGGTCACTAACACCCTTCATTCTCCCAGGCCTGTTGAAGAGCTGAATGTGAACTGGAAGAGAAATGGGGTGAGGGTCACCAGTGGGGTCCACAGCTTCGGGAGACGTCTCACCATCAGCAACCCGACCTCCGCGGACACGGGCGCGTACGTCTGTGAGGCGACGCTGACAGGAAGCGCCTTTGAACCAGCCACAGCCAGAGCCTTTCTTTCCATCATAGGTAACGCTCAGCCCATGCGTGGCATCACCCGCGGCCTCAGACGGCAGCCCCGCAGGGGCGCCCCGGGACGCAGCACAGTAACCCCGTGTTTCACTGGCTCTCTTTCTGACTCAGGAAGTGAGGGTGGAGCTGAGATGAGTCCCAGATTCGCCCTGTTCTTCCTCTTCTAAGAACATAACCCCCCAGCCCTAAGCGCTGCTATTCTGAGTACTTACTAGATCCTAAAGCGTGGCAGATGGAGGGGTGATATCCCTGTCGTGTAGATCGCCGTCTGGGGATGGACTCTGCACTACCGAGCCCCTCTAACTCTCACCGGGCTCTCAGGATCGTGTTTCAGAGATCCTCCTATTGCTGTTATTTTTTGACCCAGAAAAAATAAACTTCTGGATAGTATCTTTGGTTAAATTAAAAAGTGGGAACAGAGCTGCTCCCCCTAGAATCTGCGCCAAGTGCCATTCCCGAGCCAAGGAGAGTGAGGAGATAAGATCAGGCACACGGAAGTTGCCCTACATGCTGGTAGGTATCATGTCAGGAGGCATGCCTGGTGCGGTCGCAAAGGGAGCCCTGCTGTATTTTCGGATGGTGGTAAGATGTCACTGAGTTGTGAGGCAGGTGCCTTTATTTCTTACTTTCTTCAGCTCCTGTAATACTTCTAGTGTTAGGGGCCAAGATCACAGCCATTGTGACCTGTGCAGTGGGCTGGTGGCCACAGCAGACAAGAGGAACCCTGGAGGCCGACCCCAGGAAGAAGGGCCTCTGCCTCTTCTCTTGGGGAGGAAGGGAGTCTAGAACAAGAAAGTTCCAATCCACAGAGAGCCCTGGACAGGGCACGGGCTCCTCATGTGACCTATTTTGCCCTTGACCCCTTTGCGAACTAAGGAAAAAATTAAAGCTCATGTTTTCCTATGAACTGAGCAAGACTGTGGAGAAATCCTACACGCAAGGCAGTTTGCCCTGAGTGTGGCACATTCCTTCAGGTCGTCACGAAATGGCTCTGTGACCTGAAAACAACTCTGCCAAATCCACACCTACCCTAGCCCCTCCGAGTGGAGTGCAAAGATTTTACAGTATCAGGAAAGCAGACCCGGAGCCACATGTCTCTGCTGACTCCAGGCTGGGGAGCGGAGCTGGCTCCCCCAGCGTCTCCTTCTCTATGCCTTCGAGGTGGCCATACCCCAGCCCCTCACCTGCGAGGACTTCCCCACGAGGGTCTGTCTGTAGCTGTATGAGCACAGACATTACGGAGCGAACCAAAAGTAGTAGAAGCTGTGGCGTGTAATCTCCAGGAGACATAACTAGATTGTGTTTAGACATTTTAAGGTAATTTAAACAAGATAAGAAATTTATCTTCCTATAAACTAGGTTGTGTCTATCATAATTCCTTTTAAAAATATTCAGATCTGTCCCATGAACTTTGGGTTTGCACTTACAGCCGAATTCCGAGGCAGACTACACTGTATTCTATAGAGTTCCCAATCTCTGTGTGTTCCGGCTTCTAGAGGTATACACTCTGCGAATGTAAATGTGGATTTACGTCCCCTTTATTCACAAGAATTTGCTGTGACAGGCAGGATTTTATGGTTGACTCACCCTGGAAAAGCCCTGTGGTGTGCTGCTGTCAATCCAGCACTGTTTGGGGGATCACGGAGGGAGGGTCCCCAGGCCCCGCGGGGCTGGGCAGGAGGGGTCCCTGCATGCAGGCCGCTGGAAGAAGGCAGGAACACGCTGGCCCTCAGTCACTTTCATTGTGCTGACGAGACGAGACAGATCAGTGGTGCCTGTTCACTCTGCCTGTCGGCCTCGCCAGCACATCGCTTCATTGCTGAGGTTTGAACAGGAGCTCGGGGGTCTGGCTGAGGGCAGTGTCACACCTGTCGGAGGTCCTGGTGACCCCGCACGACCTGGGTCCGTGTTCCCCCCCACAGCCTCCTTGACAGCCTTCCCCTCCCCTCCCTGCTCCGACTGCCTGCACCGCTATTCCTTCTTCATGGCCTTTCCTGGCTCCCGGAGTCCCAGAGCCTGCTGCACGGGGCCCGGCATGCACCTTGAGGGCCCCAGGCGTGCACCGCAGGGCCGGTTGGAACGCAGGTCTAATGGTTCACGGGGTAGATGGCGGGGCTCCTTTGCCACCATGATGGGATGTCATTTGGAGCTTGTGCTCCATCCTGGCTCCGGGCATTCCCAGTGATGAGCTGACTTGGTCACATGCTCATCCCAGCTGCGCTACCCCCCCCCCCAGGTGGTAGTTCCGTCACCTTCCAGATAAACCATGGCTGTAAACCTCATCTCCCCATCCATTTCTCGGGGAGGCCTACCCAGCACCCTGTGCACACAGACTCTGAGCATGTGTGCGTGCCTTTCTGCCCCAGGCCCCAGCTCACCTGCTAATGAGTCTGCTTGTCCTTCAAGACCCCACCCCGAGGTGGCCATCTGCTCCAGAGCATGCCGGCGCCCTGGTGGGTCTGCCACGTGCACCACGTGTAATGGACCAGACTGTGGGGACAGGCCTGAGCTCCCACTCTCCCAGCCCCACCCACTGGCTTGAGGAAAGCCCTCCGCCCCTGTTGGTCTCAGTTTCCACATCTGTAAAATGTAGCCAAGGTAGGAAATGGTATGGCTTCCTACCGGGAGCCATCAGAAGTAGTGCTGGTCAGAGGAGCACTAAACAGGCAGCTTTATTAGTGGTGGATGCAGCTCTGTCATAGCGTGAGGGACGTCAGTTATGTACAGCAGCAGATGATATGGCACACGCTTTCCATGCACACTGGTTCTGAGCGCAGGACATGTCTCACAATGCATGGAAGCATTTTCTCCTCTTGGGGATAAACAAGACAATGAGGCCTCTTACCCACGACCGCTGCATCTCCGACTCAGTGAGACACAGCGTGTCCACCTTCCCGTGCAGACTGGCAGGCTGACGCTTCCTCCTGTCATCGCCATCCACACGCTCTCCCTGCCCTCGCGCAACTGCCCTTGCACCCCTGCATCGGGAGCGTGGCTGCATAGAGAGCTGTCTCTCCTTGGGACACACAGATCATTGGGGAACTCTGGTACCATAGCGGTCCTTAGAGTCACAAATCACTTGTAACCTCCCATGGCCGTGAAGCTCTAGCTGCACCAGAAGGTCTTCCTGAGCTGAGAGCAAGCCCCTCTCAAATGTCTGAACCCCAACACAAAGTCTTCCCTCCATCCTTCCTCCCATCTTTCCTTCCTTCTCTTCCTTCTTTTCCTCCACTTGCACTTACCGAGTCTGCGTCTCTGACACCGTACTGGGCACCAGGGACAGGGGAGTGGAGAGGCAGCCCTGGTCCCAGGCCTCAGGGCTTCCTGTGCGGGAGACAGTCCCTTCACAAGGCTGTCACTGCTCAGTGCAGTGAGTGCGAGGCTGGTGGGGAGGGGCACCCTGAGCCTCGCACAGCAGCTGCAGGGGGCAGAGGCTGCCCTGGCATACGGCTGAACCGAACCCTCTCCCGCTGCCCGGTGACTCAGTCCCATTGGTTTAGGACAAACGCCAGGTGTCTCCTTTCTGGTTTTCCAGGTGGCCTGCGTTATAAGCACCTACAGTAATCATTGGTGCCCTGTCACAGCTAGAACTCACCTGGACCACAGGTCAGAACCGAATGAAGCTCAGAAAACAGCTGTCACAGAGCTGGCTCTAAGGCGAGAGGGAAATTCGTGCAAGGCGAACACCAGTGCTGTCCGGGTCATTGGCCCTGCATGCGGGATTGGCCATGACACCCCGGGAGGGAGCAGAGAGGGTGCTCTTCTGGGTGCCACCTGTCCTCCAGGGCACCCCCCCCCCCCGCCACCCCTATGCTCCCTGCTGTTCTGCCGGCCGTTTGTGGAGCTCACAGGATGTGCAGGACCCTGGGCTGCAGTGCTGGCATGGGTGGAGCAGGAATGGGGAGGTTTGGCAAGATGAATAGGACACACCTGCTCCCTGAAGGGCTTCAAGGATTTAAGGTCTTCGGGAATCTTCCATGTGTCTCCTTGAGACCATGCCAGGTGCTGCCACCATGGAGCTGAGGAGGACACGGTCCTTCTCTGTGGGAGCTCCAGTGCGGAGGGGGGACCCTGCCGAGGGGGTCGGGAGACTGTGCAGAAGAAGGGCACTAGGGCTGATCTCCAAGACCAACAGGGAATTTGGCCACAGGTGTCTCCTGCACAAGAGCCAGAGCCCCCCCCCCCGGCCCCCCCCCCCCCCCGAGAGTCCCCACAGGTAGGCTCAGCCACTCTCTCTGCTGCCAGCCTCACGAGGCCAGCATCAAGGCTTTGCCTGGGCTGGGCTCTTTCCTGGGCATTCTGGGCCAGGATCTACTTCCTGGCTCACTCGGAGTGGGCAGAGTCCGGTGTGTGGGCTTGTGAGACTGGGGTCCCTGCATCCTTCCTGGCTGTTGGTTGGAGCCACTGTCAGGCTCCAGAGCCCCCTGCCCCCACCCCCCGGCTTGGGCCACCTTCTTCTCCACAGCCAGGAAGGCCACTGCTTAAAGGGCCCCCAGAGACGGGACTGGGCCCGCCCAGCTAATCCAAGGCCAGCCTTCCATTCTAATGTCAACATTCGTAACCGTACCTGCACAGGCCATCTTACCCTGTAGCCTGTGTGGCATGTTCCAGGTCCTGGTGGTTACGGGGTGGACACCTTGGGGCCACGGACAGAGACACCAAGTGTGGATGATGGTGGTATGTCACGGGCACCCCATGGACTGAGGTGGTCATTCTGGGGCTGCAAGGAAGATGGAACAGGGACGTCCAAGGGTCTGGAGTGAGCCCCCCTCAGGACTGCCCTGCAACTCACGTGTGGGGGCTTGGGCAGGAGAGGAGGATGACGCGGTGCACACAGACCGTCTGCCTACTTCCTTCCACGAGGCCAGGAGGAGCGCGTCAAGTGACTGGCATTTCCGAGGGTGGGGATTTCACAGCGACTCTGGTCCTAGGCTGCCGGGGAGGCTTCGCACCTGCTGGGCTGAGACTGGGCATGGGGGTCCCTGGGCGGATGCAGAGGACGATCAGTGTGGCTGCCATCTCTCAACACAGGGCGTGAGGACGTTTTCTTGATGTCTTTGTATTGATTCAAGAGAGAGGAAAGTGTTAGTCGCAATCCCCAGTTTTATTGGCTGCAGTTGTGATAAATTCTTGAAATTCCAGTGTGTGCCGGTGTTGGCAGCGTGCCCTTTCTAGAAAGGGTTGCTACCAATTAGCTGAGACACACACCTGCCCCTGGGAAGTTAAGTGGCTGCAGGAGCTGTGCACCAGACAACCACTGTCCTTTCATTGTGCATACGACCGCTACGGCCCCCCCTTTACCCCGTACAGCCGACAACACATAAAAGTAGCCGGGGGTCAAGAGAAAAAAGTCTTCTGAGCACCTGGGGAGTGATGTTAATAGAAGGGTGAGCAGGGAGAGAAATCATCACACCTGTACGGTGGGGAAAGAAATAAGATCAGGAGGGGCACCTGGGTGGCTCAGTCAGTTAAGCGTCCAAATTCGGCTCAGGTCATGATCTCCCAGTTCGTGGCTTTGAGCCCCGCGTCAGGCTCTATGCTGACAGCTCACTCAGAGCCTGGAGCCTGCTTCATATTCTGCGTCTCCCTCTCTGACCCTCCCCTACTCACGCTTTCTCCCTCCCTCCCCCCTCTCTCTCAGAAATAAATAAAAAACATTTTAAAAAAATTTTTAATTAAAAAAAAAAACTAGGATCAGAAGCTGTGTGGACCTTTTCAGGGCCTTGGCAGCTGCATACCTGCTCTGCTTTGCTCAGCCACCTGGAGAAGTTTCAGGAACAAGGCTAAGAGTAAATGAATAAACATGCCCGGTTGTGCCATTCCTGGCCTTCCTGGTTGTCAGCTACTGAAGCCTCCTGGTTATTGGGAGTTATTGGGAAAAGAGAGACAGCACTTTGCAAGCCTTGGCCAGATGCCCTTCCAGGCTGTGCCCTGGGGAGCCTGGCAGCTGGGCCGTTGGTGCTGCATAGGATGTGGGGCGAGGTGCCTGTGGTAACTGTCTGGGGCAGGGAATGGCGGTGTTCACCAATGAGTGGCCTCGGCCAGGCCTCTGATGCCCCCGGCCTGAGAGCCGTGCCTCTGCTCAGCTCGAGCCAGCTTTGGGCCACCATGTGGAGAGAGCACCTCAGGTCTCTGAGCCCGGGCTGGGTCCTTCCCTGGCACTTGGGGGGAGGCTTGTGGCATGGCAGAGGAGGAAGGAGCAGACGAGGACACTAGCCATCATGCCCAGTAGCTGGGGGAAGGCCGTCTGGTCCTGGACACGTTGACCATTCATTTGTGTGGGTTTAAGTGCACTTCCTCTTGTATGAATCTCACGGGACTTGGACCAAATGAAATAAGCCAGTTCCAAAGGTTACATGCTGTGTGATTCCATTCCTGACACCTTCTTGAAATGACAGAATTAGACGGAGAGCAGAGGAGTGATTGCCAGACGTGAGGGATGGGACATTGGGTGGCCGTGATCATAAAAGGGCAGCATGTGGGACCCTGGGGTGATGGACCCGCTCTGCCTCTTGACTGCAGACCCAGGGGCCTGCACACTGGTAACATCGCACGTGCGTGCTCACACACAAGACGGGAGGGGGTAGGAGTGGGGTAGTCTCACTGTCAGTATCTTGGGTGTGATATTGGACTGTGGTTTTTTGCAAGAGGTCACTGTCGGGGTGAGCTCAGTAGAGGGTGCCCGGGTCTCTATTATGTCTTACAATGCCTTCAGACTCTACAGCGACCTCAAAATACGATGTTTAATTTAAAAAAGAAGAACTGTAATTAACCAGAGGCAAGTGTTGACTTCTTCACTTGGTCTTTTCCTTCATATCCCTTCTGCCAGACCAGGGAGGGAGATATCGACGTTAGCATTCACCGATGAATACAGGGCATGACCACACACAGGGGCCTTGACGGGATGCTGCTCCTGCATCGTTAGAATACAAATATCACTGCTGTCATGATTATTGATGGAGCAAATGTGGCTGAATGTGAACGTTTGAGTGTGTGCGGTGAAGACCACCTTGAAAAGAGACTGTAAATCTTTGCAGTGTGTCTTTAAGGCCTGGTCTACACATGACCAAAACCCAGCAGAGGGGTCTGTGTCCTCCAGTGAGGATGCCGCCCCCGCCTCAGCCAGAGCGGGTGTTCGGACAGATTGCGGCCTTCTGAGCGGCCCCGGTGATTGCAGAGTTGGGGCCATACTTGGCCTCCATCGAGAAACCTTCAGTCTTTGCCCCTTAATCATGTCTCAGAAAGGCTCAGTTTTCATTCCTCCTTTCCCTCTCTTAGGCTCCGCCCTGTTTTGAAGACCCAGGCAGGGTAGGAGGCACGCCAGTCTATACTCACCATGCTCCACACAGTTACAATGAAAATAAGCCACTCTGAGAAGACAGTGCCCAGAAATTAATGATCACGCAGCAAATGAATACTACAGCCTTTTGTTAGCATGTTCGTGAAATCACTACCACCTTAATACTGGATGAATCTGGCCATACCACCAGTGATGTTTGGCTGAATAAACTGAGAAAAATATTGCAATTTATTCTCCAAGGAAATTTACTGTTTAATACACCCTCTATTTTTTGTTGAATAAGCGAGGGGAGTATGTAGGGATATACAAGCAGTGGACCTTCCGCTGCAAGTAAAGATGGATGAGGGGCCCTTTTTCTTTCTTCACTCAGCTATTATTTAGCCTTCCATTCAAGTAGTAAATCTGTATTTTGAAGAAGAAGAACCGCCAAGACTTTAAAAAAAATATGTTAATAGGCTGCCCCATTCCCCGACACAGGCCCGGTGCCTGGCTGTGGCGCTTTATTTGACATGCTTCCTGTATTGGTGTTTAGTTTAGATACTGAAGCAAACTAGCCTTTAAAATACTGTGCTGTAAATATAAACCTTTATGAACCTCTTGGGATCGTCCTTCTAAAATGTGAATTAAGATATTCCATGATTCAAGCCCATAAACGGAAAAGTAGCCATCACCCTGTGTAGTAATTTGCTTTCTGAAACCTTAGAATATAAATTGCCTTTGGCCTGTGCTTTCTGAATTCTGACTCTGTGTGTATGATGAACTAATGAACTTTTCAAAGATAGTTTTTAAAAGGAGTCCCGACTCTTTCAGACTCCACGGGTCATCTGAAACACACCTCTTTTGCTTAAGGGCTATTTTTGTTTTCTTGTTTAAAGAGCCACCGTATTTTACTGCTGAGCCTGAGAGTCAGATTTTAGTGGAAGTGGAAGAAACCGTGGACATCGTCTGTCGAGCCATGGGTGAGTGTGGAGAGGCCGTGAGATGGAGGAACACGAGGGGCATTTTCCAGGGCAGGTGCCTCACTGTTACAGGGACGCAGGTTGAGTGTGAGGTCAGCAACAGGGCCTTTGGAACAGAGCAGAATTCAGCTACTGGGTGTGTGACCTTGAGGAAGGCTTCTGACCTTCTTGAGCCTTTGCTTCCTCCCCTGCAAAGCAGAGATAGTACTCGTCACCCAAAGGAGCAACAGGGACACCTTGACCCCATCCGTCCCAGCAGAAACACACAGTCCTGTCTTCCAGTGCCCAGAGTCCACAGAGCACGGCCCCTCAATGACGTGGGGCAGGGACTTCTTCATTGTCCATGGCGTCATTGAGGCCAGTGCCTTTGTGTTCTCCTTAGTAAGAAAGCTGGTTTTAAATTCTTTGAACAGGAAATCTTCCTCTTTTCTTTTTTTTTCCTTTGTTTTTCTTTCTTTCTTTTTTTTTTTTTTTTTTTTGCCTATCCAGTTTTGGGTTGACTTTTTCTTTCTTATTCCAGTAATTTCCCCCTCAACCCCTTGCCTTGATTACGAGATTACGAGCTATCCATAGTCCCCATTGCCTGTCAGGCAACCCAAATAATTATACTAAAACCCATAACAGAGATAGGCTTTTTAAAGGCAATTTCATTAACAACAGCTATGTTAGTGCTCTGGAAACTGTCAATGGAAAGGACGTTTTTTTTTCATGTTTAAACCTGTCCATCTCAAGGGTGGGTATTTTATTCTAAGAGCTTGGAGGGTAAAGATTGCTAACAATTTTGTAAATCTTCAAAACGGCTACATAAAAGAGATACTGTTCTCTCAGAGTATACATTTGAAAACAGGACCTTAGTAAAGCGAGGTTAAGTAATGTGCTCAAGGCACACAGCCAGTGAGATGAAATGAGATGCTTGTAAAATCATGGCCCAGCTCCTGGTATGTGGGACCGTCTCATTAAATATGGGACAACCTGCCAGGGGTCACATGGCAGTGGAGACAGGATCCAGACCCAAACCCATCAGCTACCACACCTGGGCTTTGGCCAGGGCGCCCGGCTTCTCCCAGAGAGCTTCAGTCCTGGGACCCAGAGTACATGGCACTGGTCCCCAGACATGGGCACGTCATTCTTCATTTCTGCAAAGGAAGAGTGGTGTCTTGTGAACAGCCCTGATGGCCCCTGTAGCAACTGGTGTCCGCCGCGGGCACCCTCTACCCACTATGCCTCGGCCCAGAAGGTATGTTTCCTAAGGGGTCTCGGCTCCTGGTCAGCTCACGATGGCACTGCTGACAGATCTACTCTGCCCCCGTCCTTCTCTGGTCTAGCTCTGCCCAGACCTCCTGGGGAGGAGAGGACAGAGATGTGAGTGACATGTAAATATCCCCCTGGTAATGGGCTGCATTGTTTTCTCTTTTATTTTTTTTTTTTAAGTTTATTTATTTTGAAAGAGAATGCACACAAGTGGGGGAGGGGCAGAGAGGGAGAGAGAGAATCCCAAGCAGGCTCCGCACTGTCAGCACAGAGCCCAGCAAGGGCCTCAATCCCATGAACCACGAGATCATGACTTGAGCTGAAACCAAGAGTTGGATGCTCAACTAACTGAGCCATGCAGTGAGGTGCCCCTGTTCTCTCTCTCTCTGCCTCTCTCTCTCTCTCTCTCTTTGCATAAATGGATCTTTTTAAGTCCACGATTGTCGTAAGGTAAAGTTACGAAGTATTTAGAGAGTTCGGCTGTTCGAAGGCAGAGTCTGCAGTTCTGCAGGGGATAAGATTTCCTTTTATGACACTAAAGTGCCCCAAAATAGACTCTCAGTTCCCCATATACTAACAATTGTTTTTCGATAAGTGACAATCTTAAGCTCTTCCCTTGACAAGAGAATGTTTTTTTTTTTGCATGATTTCTACAGGGCGAACTGCTCATTACATACAGACTTGTAAATATGTATCGAACAGGCCTTTCAACACTGCCATCATATAATTTACTGCTTTCTTTTAATTTTGACAATGAAACTATAGCAGCATGCGAAGTGGTTATTCTTCATGAAAGGTACATCGGGTAATTGCTATTATGAGATTTTACATGAATTGGTTATGCTTTTACCTTGAAATGGATTTTTTTTTAATTTCCTGATTTAATGAAAAGTGACAGGAAACATAATTAAGGCAAAGAACAGAATCTGAAAATACATTATCTTGAAATATTTCACGACATTAACTTTATTTATTAAAGAAGACATCTTACACCTACATAAGCATCTGAAATCAAGGGATTTTGGTGTGCTTTTCACCATGAATCATTGTCAAGACGTGCTTTGTTTAAATTAATTTCATACGTAGGGAAACTGAGTTACAGAAGCAGCCTGGGCATTTCTGTGCACTTCCCACAGGTCCACGGCAAGCATACGTGGGCCCACCATGGTTCGGGACTCCGTCGTCTTGTGCCATGGGGAGTTTCTATGCACAGCCTGCCATATCTACCCAGTTGACCCCCGTTAGGTGGCTTGGGAGGGTCAGGGAGCAGTGGCCACTACTGCTTGTGCCCTGAGCTTCCCAGGAGAGCTGCCCAGCCATGGCTTGTCCCATGCAGCAAGGCACCAGGGGGAGTGGTGTGCACACCCTCATCGCCCAGGCTCCATGTGCTGAGCACAGCCACATGAGCGGATGGGCAGCAGGGGTCTTCATGCCCTCAAGCCAGGGATAGTCCCTTTGTTTACAACACGGGCTCTGCCCCTGGGAGCTGGTCCTTTGTCCTCTTCATTGACCCTTCCCAGACCCAGCGTCCCCCTCCGTCAGGCAAGCCAGCTGGATGGCACAGAGCTCTGGTCCCTCTGACTGCAGCCTGGGTGTTCTCCAGCACATCATTAGGGTGAGAAAGAGGCACTTAGCCTCAGACTGACCCTCCTGTCCTCCCAATCAGTGTTGGCCATGTTCTGGGTACTAGTAGCTCCCAAGGACAAGGATGGCACCGTCCTAGCCCCTTCTCGTCACCTGCTGGACTCACATTTGTCTCAGGGGTCAAGGCAGCTTCTCCACCAAGCACGACTGAACACCACATGCATCTCAGGTGCCGGCTCCTGATGTCAGCCATTGCCGTTCCACCACAGCAGACCTCCACTTCGATCGGGGTGACAGCCAGCTCCTTAGGCAGGGGATGGGTGAAAAGACAGTGCACGTTTTTAGTTGTGAGTTGTAATGATAGTCATTCTAGCCACTGAGCACTCACCATGTGCCGAGCACTAAGAGATCTGTGTGTACTGACTGATACGATCACCCTTCACAACAACGTTCTGAGTTTGCAAAGACCCTTCCTTCCCAAACGTGTCTTCTCCCCAGTGACCCTTCCCCAAGCCTTGAGTGGCAGAGTCAGCCCTGTAGAGCAGAGGGGTCTTCCTCCCAGTCCCTGTCTGTCCCGAGGTCGGTCACAGCTGGAATCCCTTTCTCTCCAAACCAGAGCACAAACCTCCATGGGGTCCGGGAATCCAGAACCATCTGCAGCCCAGTGTCAGGAGTTCGTTCCTGCTCCTCCTCATGGTGCTCCTCCATGTCCATTCCTTCATAGAGATGAGGAAAACACCACCATACGGGTTGGATGGAGGGGCTAACAGATGACAATATGCCCACCAAAGTATCACCGCGGAGCCTTTGAAACATTATGGCCTCAGTCCCCATGTAACGTGCTTGGAATTTAATTCTTTTCAAATCCCCAATTATTTCCACTCCTACACAGGGGTCCCTCTTCCCACCCTCCAGTGGTACAAGGATGCCATCTCCATCAGCAAGCTCCAGAATCCTCGCTACAAAATGCTCGCGAGTGGAGGCCTGCACATCCAGAATCTGCAGCCGGAGGACTCCGGAATCTTCCAGTGCTTTGCCAGTAACGAAGGAGGGGAGATCCAGACCTACACGTACCTGGACGTCACCAGTGAGTACTGCGCATCAGGGAAGCCAGACCGTCCAGGCTGGGCTCTCAGACCAGCACCTCCCCACCTTTGCCCCAATGACACACTCAGAAGGTGATAGCATCTCTTCAGGTCAGTGGACGGGGTGCAGTGGACAGGGCGCAGTGGCCACAGCAGGAACCTTGTCTCAGGCAGATGGTAGCCCATGTGCTAAGCCCCGCGGAAGCCTACCAGCAGCAAGTACACCCTGTCGCCCCCGCGTCCTGGTGCCCAGCCTGCACTCAGACAAACTTTGATTTTTTCAGCAACCGAGCCGTCCTCTCTCCTGAGAAGTAGGGGGGAAAAAATCTCCATATTTCTGGACAGAGCTAGAAGAACTAGTCAGTGAATAGCTCATTCCTAATCTTTTTCTTTTGGTCCTTTTCCCGTTTTTTCATATTCATTTTCTATTTTAGTTTTATTGAACAATGATAGTTCTTCTGTAGGTTTCTTTTATTATCCCATTAACAGAAATACTTTGGCACTCTGTCTTTGAAAAATAAAATGAAGGGAAAGGCTTTCACTGTATCTGTGGGTTTTCTTTTTCATTCCATAGCTGTAATATTGTTCTTCCAGAATGAAGGAGAATTTAGTGATTATGGGATTATACCTTTCATTGTTCGCCCTTTGGGAGGCACAATGCCGATATCCACAGGTGTGAGAGCCATTTGAGAAAGCAAATCAGGTCAGCATGCAGACGGTTCTTATGTGCTGGAACTTCCAAATTTAAGGGTTCATGTGTATATTTTGGTACAGTAGGGGGTCACTTCCTTGAACCTTGCCCAGTGGTCAAGTTTATCCTCTGGTTTGGAGGACCCTAACCAGTATCACTTCAAACAGCAGGAATAATAGTGTATACTTAAGCCAGAAGCTGGGTTTTGATCAATTAGAATTATTTAAAACACATCTTAAAGTGCCAGCCAGGTGCTTGTGGGGTTTTTTTCTTTTTTTTTTTAAACTTCATTTTAACTTCAATATAGTTAACACACAGGGTTGTATTAGTTCGGGCGCACAATAAGCTGATTCTACAGTTCTATACGTTCCTCCGTGCTCATCACAGGAAGTGTGCTCTTAACCCCTCACCTGTTTCTGTCCCCCCACCACCACCTCCCCTCCAGCAACCACCAGTTTGTTTTCTGGCCTTAAGAGTCTGTTTTGAATCAGTGTTCTCTTCTTCTTTGGGTAAATACCCAGAAGTGAAATGACTGGATCATAGGGTAGTTCTATTTTTAACTTTTTGAGGAAACTCCATACTGTTTCCCATGGTGGCTGCACCATTTGCATTCCTACCAGCAGTGCAAGAAGGTTCCTTTTTCTCTACATCCCTGCCAACACTTGTTTCTTGTGTTGTTGATTTTAGCTATTATGACAGGAATGAGGTGATACTGCATATATGTAGTTTTGTTTTGCATTTCCCTGATGATCAGTGATCATGAGCGTCTTTTCATGTGTCTGCTGGCCATCTGGATGCCTTCTTTGGAGAAATGCCTGTTCATGTCTTCTGCCCATGTTTTAATTGGATTACTTGTCTTTTTTGGTGTTGAGTTGTAGAAGCTCATTATATATTTTTGATACCAACCATTTATCGGTTATGTCATTTGAAAATATCTTCTCCCATTCAGTAGGTTGTCTTTTGGTTCTGTTGACTGGAGCAAACTCTTTCTGTAAAAAGCCAGATAGTATTTTCAGCTCTGAGGGATGTGGTCTCTGTCACAGCTACTTACTTATGCTATAGCAATGTGAAAGTGGCACAGACAATGTTGAGCAAATGGGCATGGCTGTGTTCCAATAAAACTTTATTTATAACAGCAGATAACGGGCTATGGTTGCCTACCTGTCTCTAATGAGAGACCTAAGACACATCCCCTAAATCTCAGCCTCAGTTTTTTCACCAATTGAACCAACTCAGCCCAATTCACAGCTTCTTCCAAGGATCAGATTGGAAATTGTGATGAAAGTGCTACCAAACTGGTTACTATGGCAGCTGGAGATGGAACAAAGAAATACATGATAATGATATTGCTACATTCTCTGTTTTGTAAGGACACAGTTTTGCAAAATAGGCTTTTATTTCCAAATTAAAACACTTTTCGTGAAAAGAAAAAATAGTATGTAAAGCAATCAATATTTATTCGTTCATTTCACAAACATTTATTTAGCATCTCTGTCAGGCACTTGGGTCTGTCAGGCTCAGGGACGGAGCTCTGAGGAAGACAGGCGAGGCTCTCATGCCTCCAGGACAGAGGTCGTGAAGGGGAGAGGCACACAGGACAGGAGGAGGGCCATGAAACGAGACAACAGGCAAGACCCGGGGTGACGGAGGCTCCTCTGAGGGCTGTCAGGAATCATTTCCTGAGAGCTTATGGGAGCTGAGGCCTAAAGGTGCAAGATCTTAGGGGATGTGCGCACCATGGGGCAAAGGAGTGAGGGAGAGAACATTGCACGTGCCTTTGAGGGACGAGTTTGTGGATATGGGGAGCAGGGGTGATGGTAGGAGGTAGGCTGGAGGGGTAAGCAGGGCAGAGGCCCAGTGGGAGGCTTTCAGCAGGGAGTGGTGGGGTGTCCTTCCTGGCTCCCAAAGGGCGCCCAAGGCTGGGTGTAGAACTCCCAGTGCAGGGAGGAGCAGAAGGCTTGGGGCCAGGAAGGAGGCCACTGCACTGCCCGGGTGGTGGCCCCACCAGTTATTGGAAACAGAGGGCTCCGGGCTACACTTTGGGGGCGGCACCCAGGGGACGGATGCGGTTGGTAGGGGCTCCTGCCTGGTGGAAGGAGGGCTGACAGCAGCATCCAGTGCTCCCCAGAACCCCAGCCCAGGCTCCTCAGGGGCCCCTCCCAGGATTTGGGACATGCCTAGCTCTGCTTTTCGGCCATTTCCAACTTAATCATTCTCAAAGTGGTACGAAGTCAGCAGAGCCCTCACTGAAGCCAGCCTGAGCGACCCCCGACTGTCTCAGTCTGATTCTGGGCTCCTGGGAGCTGGAGGCCCATGCCAGCACCCCCAGGACAAGAAGCGCCCCCTGCCCCCCAGCACTTGGGCCCACAACACTTCCTGGAAATCCTTTCCTGAAGTGCTTGAAATCTGGTTGTTTTGTGAATGCATTATCTTTTGGTTAATGTTTAATAGTCAAAAATTAGTTTCTTCTATTTTTAAAAAGTAATGAAAGCGAGCTTATTAGATTTATCTAAATAAATGTCTCTCCTCTCATTAACACTCTTCTGAAACAGCCCTTCCTAGGCTCTGGCACTTTCCCACCTCGTGTCCATTACATCACGGGACTGGGTTTCTCTCTAGGTTGTAAACACAGATCGGCAGCTCCTGGGGGACAAATAACGGAAGGTTATAGTCACTCCTGAAAGGTTTTCATCTTTTATCACTGCATTTCTGTGTGATTAGTCCTATAAAAGCCCATACGGGCCATCCCCCACTGGGTGGGTCTGGGCCTGTCTGGGGGATGCACACTAAGGATGTCACTGTTTGCTCCCACTTAGATGTGGCCCCGGCGTTTATGCAGCTGCCAGTGGACACCACAGTCACTGATGGGATGACGGCCACTCTGAGGTGCGAGGTGTCCGGGGCGCCCAAACCCGCCATCACGTGGAGGAGAGGTGGGTAGCCTGCGCGCCCCCCATAGCCTGGCCAACATGCAAAAGGAGCCCCTCGGGCCAGGGCTTAATGTGTTCAACAATCCTCCCCCCCACCTTCCTTCATTCAGTAGAGATGAGTAGCCATCTGCCGAGCTCCTGCAGGGTGCTGGGTGCTGGGTGCAGGGCAAGGAAGAGAGGCAGAGCCCTGTAAGCTTCACAGAGCTGACAGCTCCAAAAGGAAACCGTTTTCAAACTGTGTGACTAGCACTGATTTCTGCCTAAGCCCTTCATAGGCTATCTGAGGTTTGGTTGGGGGGGCTCCCTGAAATACCAGGTCCTGGAGGTGGAGAGGTGCCACCAGGACTCAGTGTCTCCATTTATGAAGTGAAGGCAACATTAAACATTAAAAATAATACCCCTGTTTCTTTAAGAAAATAAGGTGCCTGGATACACACCTGAAACTAGCAGGATGTATAAAAATGAGTTACACCTGAATTTTAAAAAGGCAGAGAGGGGCACCTGGGTGGCTCAGTCAGTTAAGCATCCAAGTCTTGATTTCGGCTCAAGGCATAAGATCATGCCTAGTGTTGGGCTCTGCACTGAAAGTATGGAGTCTGCATGGGATTATCTCTCTCCCTCTCCCTTCACCCCTCTCCTGCTCACTCACTCATTTTCTCTCTCTCTCCCCCCAAATAAAAATAACCATTTTAAAAAGAGGCAGAGAAACCAAAGACTGAGTTATACCAAGGCTTAAAGTCCACAGCATTCAGGGACAGCAAGGCTCAGAGGGACCTTCTAAGATCGCTTCCCTGTGTGCAGCTTAGCAGAGTGACATCGAAGGCATAGAGCTTTACTAAAACAGAAAGAGAGAGAGAGAGATGCTTCTAGCACGGGCCCATCTGACACATGTGACCATCCCCATGCCACCTGTTTTCAGCCCCCACGAGGAGAGGCTTCTGTCGTGGGCTCTCTCTGAAGCTCTCAGGCACTTCCACATGTAGACACAGGGGTCACTCAATGAACAGCATATGGTCCGTTCTTAACAACCGTGTGCTGAACACGTGGGGTCACAGAAATGAGCTGGTCCGTCTCGGAGGGCCCTCTCTGAGTGAGAGGTCCAGACGCACATCTCTGTCGTCTTTCCAGAGAACCCCGCAGAGGCTCTCGCCTCTCCCAGGGTGCCACCCCTGCGCCCAGACTGCAGCTCTTAAACATGAAAGTCAGTAAGCGAGAGGGGATTCACCTATTTCATATGCAGAGTTTTTCCACCCAATTTAGGATGTATGGTATCTTTCTGTAGAAAATGTGCAGATACATACAGGTGTAAAGAAAAGTCAGAGACTGTTACCACCAAAGGTAACAGTCACATACATGGGCCATCACTGGTCTAAACCAACTTCTCAATATTGCACAAGTAAGATTCTCTTGGTCTCTGTCGTCCTAAATAATAGAAAGGAACCTACTTCGGTTATTTTTGCACATACAGTTTCCACTTTATTGTGATTACTTCAAGTTCTTTTCTTGGTTCTGGTGCTAACCTTCCTGTTTTCTCTATTTTCCTTCAGGAAAACATATTTTGGCCAGTGGCTCTGTGCGCATTCCTAGGTTCATGCTTCTGGAATCCGGGGGCCTGCAGATAACCCCCGCCTTCATCCAGGACGCTGGCAACTACACCTGCTATGCCACCAACACAGAGGGGTCCCTGAGTGCGTCTGCAGCACTGACTGTGTGGAGTAAGGACCACAGGCTGCACGGAACCTTCTGTTCATTGTGGTTTAATCATCATGTCAGCTGTGCTTAAGGGGTGTCAAAATGCCTTTGGACTCTCTAATTTAATTAAAAGATAATGATTATTTTTACAACTAATTTATAGAAATCTGTTGAGTAATTAATTTTTTCAGTTTCTAAAAGAATAATTAGAAAATGTAGTCAAAGATTTAATGGGGACATTTCAGGAGAGATGAAAGTTTGACTTTTTAAAGTCAGTGGAGTAGGAAATATTATCCCAAACCAGCCCGAACAACAAAACTGATAGATTGGTTAATTTTATGAGCATCACATAAGAATTAACAGTTAAGAGTCAAGAATTAACATTTTAGAGAAAGTATGTTTTATTCTGTAGTATCACTATTACCAACTAAAACACTCTTATGTTAAACGTGAGTGTTTGTTATATGTTAGGAGTGAACCGAAGATTTTTTATTTCTCCAGCTTTTTTTCTTTCTCTGGAACACAGGTTTCTGAACTGGGGACTAATTTGTTTTCCAGATGTAAGGATTCCTTACCAAATATATCTGCCCCCACCTTTTAGCCTCACTTCACTTGCTGGCATACTTTTTCCTTTCTGCTTCATTTGTCATCTATATGACTAAAAAAAAAAAAAAAAAAAAGTTGCTCAAAAAAAGCGAAAGGTAGTGCTCACGGGTCTTTGTAAAGCTTATCTGTGTGCAGAGAGAGAAATGTAACTGGCATCGGTGACTCGTTTGTGAAAACACCGTCCTTGAAGAGAACCTGCATTATCATGCTTTCTTCCATGTCTGCTTGGTTCTCTATGGGATATTTGGTGTCCACATTGAGAAATGACCCCTTCTGATTTACTTAGGTGTCATAAAAACACCAGGAGTTTTAAAAAGACTTGAATTCAAATACCCCCAATATCCTTAGGTACCAAAAAAGAGGTTTTGTCCCCTTTCGTGGCCCCCTCTGTCCACCACTTCTGATTCATCATATGTCTGTAACATGTGAACCTCATCTTTAACAGCCTGCAGAACACATCCCCCCCGCTTTACCTCCTCTGTCCTGTGTGACTCGGCGGGGGAGGGGGGGGTGCTGCCCGACCCCTTCCACAGACACCAGCTGTGAAGCTCAGGTCTTTCCCGCGACACTATGCTCCAGGTGGTCAGGCCGGGCCCCAACTTCATCCTAGGACTCCCATGTTCTGGGCTCTGCTCGTGGGGCCAGAGCAGCATCTGCCTCAGAGGCGTGCAGTGGGGGGACACCAGCCACAGGGCTGTCGCCAGGGCCTTTCTCAGCCAGTCACTGCATTTCTGAGCACCACTCTCTAGTCCTGGAAGCTGGGGGTGGTGCGGTCACAGCCCCCACAAGGGTGTGTGAGCATTAACTAGAACAATACAAATGGAAGCACTTTGCAAAGTCATGATGTGCTGTGCAGACAGCAGAAACAACCAGAATGTTAATAATCTTGGGAAAGAACCACGATTTTAACCTAAGAATGCAGAACCTAATGAACATTTGCATGCGGTCTGTGTTCTCATGGTCCCTCCAAGAGGGTTTGAAGGCTGGGGAGCGGCCCCAGAGGAGAGGGGAGGCCTAATGCTGTGGCTGCGCCATGGACAGGCTTGCTTCCAATTCCCTTCATGTTTCTGAGTGCTTCCATTTACGTTCGTTTTGCCAAGATCAGAGAAAACCTGGAGGCTTTTATGTCAGATGACCAATCTGTTACCACCTGAGGGAAGAAACTTTCAAGCATGTAATTCTGTCTGAGCTGTGACTTGTGTTTTCCCAGATCGTACGTCCATCGTTAACCCTCCCGAGGACCGCGTGGTGATCAAGGGGACCACGGCCACCCTGCACTGCGGAGCCACTCATGACCCCCGGATCACTCTCCGGTCAGCTCAGTCACTCACAATGGGGCTCATGCATGTTCTGGGAGCTTAGGAAATGAAGTTGAGATGAGAAAGGGGAGTTTTGGGAACTTTGATTTCAGCCACAGATCTCTGATTACGGCATCACACGGTCTTGGGCTCCATCATTAATCACACAAATCCCATTTTCCACTCTAGCCTTATGTATTATTTACAGTGAGCTATGTTCTACTCCGTGACTTCAGTACAGCTCTTCATGATTTTTCTGCCAAGGTTAATACACTATCTGTAAAACGTACTTGTCAGGGGCTGATACTTAATGAGAGAAAAATCCGGACGGACCGAATAGGATTTCAGCTGTGTTTACGCTGGGCTGTATAAGACTCGGGAGGGGTTTCCTCTGCTCCAGGATGGTCCATGGTGAAATGGGGGGCAAGGGAGACCTGCACCCGGAGGAAAGGTAGCCACGGTCACCTCGTGTACAGAGAGGGAAATGCATGTAAACACGGGAACTAGATGTCTTGAAGCCTCACTGACAGAATTGGAGTATCCCATCTTTGTAACGATGAAGACCAGGCCCCTCTGGGGAAACACACCGCAGCAGACACAGGGGACTGGGCAGTAAGAGTCTTCTCAAAGGTGGTAGGAGTTGCCACCTTCAGAAGAGTTTTTAATATTCAGAGCCAGCCTTGAAAATAAATCTAGAGAGAAAGATATGGTCATCCTAGAATTTTCAATCTGGCCTCAGCCCAGACAGAAGGCACGTGGGTAGCCCACTGGATAGATTTGAGATGCCGCCTTCTTTCGGGAACGGCTCACAGGAGCAGAGGGAGGTGGTGCTACCGCATCCGTCACTAACTGGATTCTGAGACTGAACTGTTTGCTCGCTCTTCGTGGATAGGCATTTGGCAGATCGTGTCTACCTCCCCCCGGCTCTGCCAAGTTTAGTTTAGTTACAAGAATGTTCAAAGCAAAAGCAACCAACAAAAACTAACAAGTTAAAGATAACCAAGAGAGTCCATGGAGGCAGTCGTAGAGAGGATTGCCCAGAAAAAAATGCATTTGTTTCCAAATGGCTTGGGAGCATGATTCCAGAGGAGGGAGAAGGACAAAGAAGCTGGCTTTCGGCAACTCTGAGAGCTCACCCGGAATCCCTCTGGGCCTTTGTGGTTTTCTTGTAGCTTTTCACATGAGAGTAAACAGACAAAATTGGAGCCTCCTTCCTAAGGTGAACTTGGACAGCTCACTCTTGGGTCCCAGGGCTCCTCTGCACTGAGAGCACTGGCCCTATGGGACAGTCTCAGCTGAACGTGGTGCCCCCCAGGGCGAGCGACTTATTCATTTCCTTCTCGGGGGACCAGGTCTGTTCGGTCTCAGGGTAACTTCAGATAAGCAGTCCATTAATATGTATGTTCTGCGCATATTAAACCTTTGAGGAACCGGGTACGTTTTGCAAACCCAAGCAAATTATTTTGGAAAGGAGAGCCAGCACTGTCCTGCCGTCCAGCAGTAAGTGGTGGCCCCTGACCACTGACACCCAAAGGCCGGCCAGGCTCTTAATTGATTCTACATTTGAAAAGAAAAATGTGCTAAAATTGTCATAACTGAAGAATTAAATGAGAACAAAGAGCAGTTTTAGAAGAACAAGTTTCTGGGATGTGATCTTTCTCTGGGACTTGGGTAACTCCACTGCGGGGAGTTTGGGGACCATCATCACCCCCTCTCTAGGCAACACCCTGCCGTCCAGGAACATTCCCCAGGCACAGTGTGAGGTACAGTTTTAGTAAGTGACAAGTGTGATCGTGATGCTCTATGGACTTCCCATCCCTTAACCCAAAGATCAGATCAGTGTTCTCTATGATCCTCACTGGCCCGTTTTTAACTTCAGCGTCTATTTTTGTACGGTGGCCAAGATATTCGGTTTCTTTTCCTTATTCTTTCTTTTAGATACATTCACATGTCATAAAATTTGCCCATCTGAAGAGCACAGTTCAGTGGCTTCTGGTTCATTCACGAGGTTGTCAGTTGCGTGGGGCCCAGATCCTAACCCTGGACCCTGGCTTGGTCCTGACTGGAGATCATTCTAACCCGTGACTCCCTGCTTGGCCCGCAGCTATGTCTGGAAGAAGGACAACGCAGCAATCACCCCATCCAGCAGTTCCAGGATCGTGGTGGAGAAGGACGGGTCCCTCCTCATTAGCCAGACGTGGTCGGGTGACATTGGAGACTACACCTGTGAAATTATCTCCGAAGGAGGGAATGACTCCAGAACGGCCCGCCTGGAGGTGATGTGAGTGTCCACAGCATAGCGTTAGCCGCCTCCCGATGATCTGCAGCACTCTGGTCAGCAGTCCTGGGTCCAAGTGACTTTTTCACACATGTGATGCCACTTGGGTCCCTGAGCTGGTAGTCAGAGGCCATGGCCTCATGCCTCACGGGCGTATACGCTTGCTTACGGGTTTTGTTGGCACCTGGAAATTAGAGCATTTCGTTCCTGGTTTAAATGGTTTGATACTTGGTTTGCATCTTCCTCATCTTCTTATCTTATTTCCCCCGTTGGCACATAACACGATGAGCCCTGTTTACCGCACTGCCTGTGACAGTCAGCCCACTTTGCCATGTGATGCCCACCAGAACTTCCTGTGGGTGAGGAATGTCACGCCAGCCCACTGAGGCAAGACCCTTCGGTGATAGCCGAGTAGCTGGTGCACCGAGGTCACCGCCACCTGCCTCTCTGTGGGTAAACGGGTGCCTTCCATTCAGTCTTTGGAAATCCTGAAAACAGCCGGCAGCTAATCTGAGCTCCTGGGGGTTCCAAGGGCCCGGGAGGGGAACCCCTGCCCTCCTCTGTCTCTGGGACTCTTTAGTACAGCTCCTCTCTGTTCACGCACAGGGGCTGACACATTTCCTTTTTCTCACGTGTATCTATTTGGGCTTTAAAACTGGGGCTCCCCAGACAGTCGCTGAGCGTGCCCATGCCAAAGTAAGATGTGCAGATGAAGCGGCAGAGCAGGGGCTCCCGGGGCACAGGCCAGCAGCCCTGACCAACATGAACCATGTGGGGCCATTAGCAAAGGCTGTTTCCAGAAGGTTTTCTTTCTGGTCTCTGCCCACCTCAATCCAAGAAGAATGCTACAGACAGAAGCCATTCCCTGAACGTGCAGCATGAACAGTCTGCGTATGGGGCCGAGCCTCTAGCTGAGGGGGTTCGCGTGAAAAGGGGCTCCTAGGTATGTTGCACGCACACGTGAATATGTGTCCGTGAATCCCTAGCCTCTGTTTCTGGGACTTGAGGGGTTAATGGTGTATAGCAGCTGGTCCAGAAAAGCCTCAGGTTGTGCCTCCAGCACTTGAAAGGCCCGTTCTGCCTCCTGGTTGGCATCTGCAGGGCGGCCCTTGTTCTTATACACACGGTCCATTACCTGCGGGGAGGGAAGGCTGTCCTTGTTAGTCACCAGACAACAGGTGCCCCCAGCCTGGGGGTGGGGGGGAGTGTTTGCAGGAGACCAGGTGCTATGCTTTCTGGCTTCGTAAGTATGCATAGAAGTGTCAGGTGTCCCCACCCCATCCTTAGTCACTGGACCTGCTGACCCTGGTCCCTTTCTACCCTCCTGTGCTCACCCGGTCCTCTGCCCAGGGCCTCAGGCTGCTGCGGCCCCCACAGCCTGGCACTGTCTTCTGCTATCACCATCTGAAGAGCCCCTGCCTCCTTTAGGGCTCAGCTCACCTCACAGCTTCCCAGCATTTGCTTGGACCTTCTGTCATAGCGCTGAGCTCATGGACCAGAAGCGCCCGTGGTCACTGGTCCTGCTGGCCGGAAGCGCCCATGGTTATTGGGTCTATGTGCTGGAAGTGCCTGTTTTCGCGATGCCCTCAGTCCTGAAGCAAAAACAGCTGGATGGCAGGCTTTGCAGTTTGAGTGGCTGATGGTGCTTTAGGACACTGTAGGGGCTCCATGCATCCCTGTCAGGTGGTTCACACATGCATGAACGAATAAATGTGTGTAGGTTACCAACCACAGGTGGGGCTTCTTCTGATTGGGCCTTCTCTCTGATGCTCACACACCTGGGGCCTTTCTCTCCGAGCACATGGGCTCAGGTCCCAATGCGGGAACCTGGCCCTGTACCCAAACCCCCTGTTCCCCTCTGGGCCTGTGTCCTTCCTCCTTCTGTCATCTTGGGAATCTTTTTTTTTTTTTTTTTTAATTTTGATAGTATTGGAGTACACAACCAGCAAATTCACACAATCCACTGTGCTATTCACATTTTTAAAGCTACCTTTGAGAACTCTTAGATCATCCATCATTGGTATCAAATAAATAAGTGTTAGCATTTCATAAAGACTCTGTCAGCAGAAGCCAAAATTGCACACTTCCAATACAGTGCATGCTTTTATTCTGCACAATTTTTATGTTCTACTGATTTACATATCTTCCCTTCTATTTGCTTATTTGATTTCCTCTGAGTAAAATACATTTTTCAGCAAATGTTGCCGTATCTATAAAATAATAGGCTTTCTGTAATGGTAAAACACCTCATCTCTAAATATAGAAATATTTGCAGATTTGTGATTCAAACCAATTTAGGTACAACGGGTTACAGAACTGATTTGGAAGACAGAGGTTCCTTATGAATTGTGAGTGTAATAAACACTCCACTCTTGCAAATCTGAATGAATTGAGGAAATCGTAGGTTATAGCCTAGTCTGTCTTTAGATCCAGATAGGTCTTAGCTGTGCGATATCAGCAACAGCAGGAATAATGATAATAGTCATAATTCACGATTGTGGGGCATTTGTGCTTCTCCGAGAACTTTCAAATCAAGCTCAGTAACATTTACATGATTTACTCTGATGACAAAAAAAAATAATAATAAAAGGGAAAAAAAATCTCCTAGTGCAGAAGTGACTAAGAGGTACTTACAACTAAATAGTGTCCTTCAAAAGAGGCTGAAAGCCTGCTTCCCCTGCCTCCCCACTTGAGTTAAAAGCTACTTTGTTAAATATAGAAATTAGGAGCATCAGAAGTGGGCTTTTCAGAAGCACACCATCCGTCAGCTTGCTCTCCGCGTGTGGGTGTTGCATTCTCTGTTGCATTCTCCAGCGCCATTCTCTGTGCGAGCCGGGTAGAACTGCGGTCCCCTGGCACCCAGGACAATGTCAGAGAAGTCATGGTCCTGGCAGGGCTACAGGTACCTTGGGAGGTGCCTTCCACCAGCCAGGCTGGACTGGACACTCCTCTCTGGCTCCTCCTGACTTTGGGCAGCTTAGCCCACTTCTCAGCCTTGGTTTTCTCTACTGCGGGATAGGCACGTTATCGTTACTTTAGAAGGCCATTGTGAGGTTTGCATGAGTGTGTTTGTAAAACCCTGGCCTGGAACCCAAGCTTAGGATGGGTGCTCAGCTGGTCACGGCTCCTGCTATTTCTTGACCATCTGACAGGAAGCGCCTTTGCTCCTTCATCAGGAGCAGCCTCCCCAGGCCCAGGGTCAGGAAGCTTCTCTTTTATCCTGCTTTATTTTTGACCACGTTCCCTGACCCTCGGACACACTAGGTATGTCTGTTTGCTGCTGAGCTCTCACGGCCTGGACCAGTGCCCAGCACATAAATGTCCACCAATAAATGTCAGAGTGAGCCTCACCCCCCTTACGAGGTTGAACTGGGCTTGCGTAATTGGGATCACAGAGGAGGACTAATTTATGAGGGGTCTGCCTTCACCGCCTCCCCAGGAGGAGAGGCTCCCACAAATCCACATGGTCCCAGCTGATGCCCTATAAATTAACCGCACACAGGGCATCCTGAAAGGAATGGTGGCCCACCGGTCAGTTGGTTATGTCTCTCCCCCTGGTTTGCTTGTGCCTCTTGGGAAGGAGCTGGTTTGGGATGACCCCGCATCCCCAAAACACACCCAGGGCTCCTAGGGCTTTATGGATTGAGTAATTATTAATTATTTAAAGATGCAATTAGCTTTGCATCTTTCTTTCTAAGATCAGAGACTAATTCTTATGAGCCTGGAGTACAGAAGAAACTTAATTTATGGAGCTGGCTGGAAGACTCGGACCCTGAGGCAGTGGGAGAGATTTCTCTCAATAAAGCCGCACCTGACAAAGCCATTATAAGGAGTGAACAATTTAGCACCATTTCTTGAGAGTTGTCAGGCCCCCATCATCTCCACCCTCAGAGTCAAGTCAGAGAAGATGGGTTTGACCAGGTCATCATTTGTGCGTTAAAGGGGCCGTGCTTCCATATTAGAAAAATGCCTACCTGAGCCTCTTCTGCACAGCACGCTGGCTACAGCCGCAATTTTGCCAGTTGCTTTGAGTTGCTTTCAAAGCTGTTTTTCCCCAAACACACCCAGCTTAATCCCCTTTCCCTACAGTCCTCCTATCTTGTTGTTAATCTCTGATAGTCTTGTGTAATTCACTTGATGGTGGTTCGCCGCCCCCCCCAAGCTCTCTTTAAATTACAAAGTGACTCAGCACTAGCTTCATTTCTATTGTTCTCAGATTTCTTTCATTTGTCACCCTGTCTGCAGATCACTGTCTGTGAGTCACTCTGCTGATCGTTTATCTCCTTTCAAAGTTGGCAGAGAAATGCCAAGACACAATCTATTCCTATTAGATAAGATTCTCTGAAATGGATTCAGAATATATTAAAGCCTCATTTATTGATTATTGATGGGTCAGTCAAGTATTGCACCAAGCTTAATTTTCCTGATAACCAAAACTTATCATTTAAAGAAGCAGTTTACATTTTCAGTGTGTATTAAAAAGTTCTTTGCATTGGGAAAGAGATAACATTGAACACAAGAGATATCACAGAGGGGATTTTCCTATAGAACAGAGGCTGGAACTAGTAAAGGTCTAATCTCCTTCTGACTCTGAGTACTGCAGTGTGTAAAACATCACGTTGAACATTGGGCAGCCATCTTGGATGTGGCGATGAGCCCATGGAGAGGACTCTGGGGCGGCAGTGGACAAGGGCTCATTATTTCTTGATGTGCCATGTCATATCCTTGGGCACCTCCTGGCTTTAGGTCCTTGTTCCTACACTAAATGTCTCAAAGCTACTTCACCTTTAGAGTTTCAAAGTCTTTTCAGTGTTGCCACCATCTCAGTCGCCTGGCTGCCATTTTGCTGTTCAGGGTGCCTACCTCTAGCAGACCCTAGGGCCTTCTTGTAGGTGGCTTTTGATCAGCTAGGAGGAAGGAAACCAGAAGCCCCTTAGGAGAATCACATGCTGAGTGAGAATCAGCAAGCTCTGAGGGGCAGAGAGAGGGACTGTGACAAGCACCCTCCAAGAGGGAGGTTCTCAGGTAGTACCTTCTTGCACAGTAAGTGCCTGTGACTGGCCCACAGTTGACAAAACCCTCCGACCCCCAGAATAAAAGCTATATGGTCACCTGTCAGATTGGTCATCTCCTAGTCCTCATTTTAGGCTAAGAGAGGCATGATCTGAAATCGAGTGTAAGAACCCGCATGTTTTCCCAGCTGTGGCAAAGCTGTACTTTCACAATTTAGAATTGGATCCAACATAGCCACTTAAGGCCACCAGATGAGGAGTGTGGGAATGCAGAGTTTCCCAGAGGCCCCGGGCTGAACAAGAGGAGACTGTCTCTTTACAGCCTCAGGTCCAGTCATCTAACCTCAGGGTCCGGATTGGGCAGTCTTATCCCCAGCCAGCCCTGCGCCCCCACCTCTCGGAGCTTGGACGTATGTGTCGGCATCAGATGCTGGCTCCTCAACCTCTAGCCCAGCTTTTGTCTCCAGGTCTGTCCCTTCTCCTGACTGCCCTCTGAATCTCTGGGACACTTTCCAATGAGTCGTCCTTGGGGTCAGTTCTAGCCCTGGAAGGTCAATGTCACAAAGAATGCCCAGAACTTTTAAACACAGGTATCTCTTACTTGCCTTCCTCTGTAAGTCACTGCAAACCCTGCATTCCCACCACTGCCCCGAACCTCCCCTTAGTCTTACCCACACCCTCAGCAGGCCATTCCCCTTCCTGTCCTCCCTTCCCAAGGGAGCCTTCCCTCCTCCTCCACTCACCCAGACCCCTCCCAGCCATGCGACCCCACTCCTCCATGAGATGGCCCTTCCTGCAGCCCTGCCATCCATTCCGCCCACCAGTATTCCCAGAACCATCCCATGGCTCCTGATCTGCGGCACCTTGCCTTGTCCCAGCCTGTATACCGGCCTCGTGCTCCTCCTTAGCTTCTCGGACCTGGTAGAGTGGGATGGTGGCAGCCTCTCCCTCTGTGTCCCCACACTCCACATATGGCCCCAGGCTTGGGAAGTGTTCATTTGTTGGCCCGTCCACTCCTATGTTGGTTGACTCATCCATCCATCCCACATTTTACTGCATGCCCTCTCGGTGCCAGCATTGGTGATGCCAAGGTCAAGGACAAGAGGCAGAAAAGGGAGAAGAGAAATCTTCCTTCTCTAGAGAAGGAAGGCAGATGCATAATCAAGCAGGATGCACTGAGGTTCCTGCTCCTGTAGAGCTTCAAGATGTTTCTTGACCTGAAAAATCTAAATTGCAGTGCAACAGAGGGGTTGGTTCTGCTCAAGAATTACTCAAGGGTGAGAGGGAGGCTGAGCCTTGGGGGCTGAGATGGATTTTCTGATTGGCATGACTGTCCCGTCAATGGGACATCCCGTGTGAGTGCACACAGGTCACTGGTGGCTCCACTCAGGGAGCTGCAAGGCCTTCGTTATGGCGGGAAATTTGATGCTCCGGAGAGTAGCCAGAGTGGGCTGGGGGCTAAGGAGTGTGGCAGGGAGTTGTCACAGGTACAGTGGGCAGCACATGGGATGACCCTGTATGGTGGCAGAGAGAAGGACAGGCAGGTGGACTGCATGTCACGGCCCTTGGGAGAGCTCGTATTGGGTGGGCTGAGGCTGGTCTGTGGCGACGAAGCAGACAGGTTGGTATTACAGGCATTTCTAATGAGGGTAGGTAGTCCGTAGCGACTATGTAGAGGCACATGTGTGTAAAGGGTGGACAGTGGGTGGGAGTAGAGATTCTGCAATGTAACCACTGACAGAAAAAAGAGCCCAGCACCCTAGTTTCAGTGAGGAGAATGATCCATGACTCACTCCAGTGTGTCACTGGACATGCCTCCTGCCCACAATAATATGCCACCCAGGACCTCCCAGGGCCCTTTCTCCATCACCCCGGCCCCTTCAGGCTCTCGTGGAGGCTGCCTCTGCTTCCAGGGCCTCAGGGCCACCCGCACATCTCCCGACTTGGCAGTCAGATGGTGGTGGTGGCCCTCAGGCCCGCGTGGGGCAATGTCCGCAAGTGAACAATGGCCCAGACACCAACTAGCCCTGTCAGTCCTCTGAGTTAGTATTGGTCATGTGAGCAAACCTCCCATTTTGGGGAAGTCTTTGCAGTGCGGTCCTGACACTGACTCCCTAGAGGTGAAGGGCACTGTTCCCCACTGCAGACACCAGCCACAGCTCCGCAGCTCCACAACCCCCGGGGCCACCTGTGGTTCCAGCCAATCCCCTAGCATTTGGAGCTTCCCACCACCCCAGCAGGATAGATGATTCCCCAGAACCACTCACAGAATGCAGTTAAGTGCCGTATTGTTGGTTTCAGTCTTATCATAGAGGATAAAATCTGGACCAGACATGCAAAGAGAGGCAAGGGCAAGGTCTGGGAGGGTCCCAAACACAGAGCTTCCACACACGTCTGATTCCCTACCAGGAAGCTCAGCTGAGCTTGGTGTCCAGAGTTTTATTGGGGTGTCATTATCACTGGCTCCCACCCCTCCATTTCCAGGAGATCAGAAGGTCTGGCTGATCTCACTGGCTCAACGCCCCAGCCCTCTAACCACCTGGCCAGTTTTTCTAACAGGTGAGCCCCCTCTTGGAACTCTGCAGGGTCCCCAACAAGTGACACTGTTAGCAAAATGCAGGTGTGGCCTACCATGAACAGCTATGACAGCCCCTGAGGAAATTTCAAGGTCTTAGAAGTTGTGCTCCAGGGACCTGGGGCAAAGACCAGACCAATTCTTTATGATACCGCAGTCTTATTTTGAATACTTATCCAAGTTTATCTTAGTTTGTTTTCAGGTTGGGACGATTTCAACAACTAAGGTTTGATTTCAGAACGACCCAGTTCTGAGAGGAAAGTGGGGCACAGGGAAAGGAGATAGATATTTTATCCTGGCATTTCCTTCACATGGGTCTTCCCTGGGAATTCAAGGTAGAATCAGTTACTGGAGAGCTCAACAGAAATAACGGCTCCCTTTCTGATTTAAAACCTAATTCACAATTAAAGAGAAAATAAGCCAACATTTCAGGCTCAACTTGATTCTTTATTGTACTAATTTAAAGTCTCCATCTACACTGGAAATATTAGTTTGTTTGTTAACTGTGTGCCTGGGTTAGAGAGAGCTGTGTTTCTTAGGTAGCTGCACACACAAAACAGCTCAATAAATTTCAAAGTGTAATGAGTACGTTTTTCAAATTAAAAGTATCAAGTATAATTATGGCTCTTTGTGCTGACCTATGTGGGTCAGCAGTAATTGATGTCTCAGAGAAACCACAGACTAGCTAGGGGGCGAAACAGGTCCACAAGGCACCCCTCTCCTAGTACCGCCTCGGGTCATTTATAGAGGAAGCCGTTCCCAACGGCCTCGAAACAGGGTGTTGCTCCCAGATTTGTGAGACATGAAGGTTAAGCACTGGATTAGGGCTACTTAGGATAGTGTGATTGCAGGGGTGCCTGGATGGCTCAGTTGGTTAAGTGTCTAGCACTCAATTTCAACTTGGGTCATGGTCACACGGTTCATGAGTTCGAGCTCCCCATTGGGCTCTGTGGTGACAGCATGGAGATGGAGCCTGCTTGGGATTCCTTCTACCTCTCTCTCTCTCACTCTCTCTCTCTCTCTCTCTCTCTCTCTCTTTCTTAAATAAATTTTTTTTTTAAAAAAAGGATTGTATGGTTGCAGACCCAGGAGAAACTATCCACCCATAAAGACCTTTTCTATTAGTAAATGCTTTTCAGTATTTATTTAACTGTGTTTCCATTCTACAGCCCTGCTTATGTGCTGTTTACTATTCCCATGGAGTTTTTGAGTTTTCTACATATTACCCTCTGGGCTCTTCCCCCAAACCCCATTATCTAGCAGAAGACAGAATGATGACACAATGTTGTGTGGTCAATGAAGAGGCAGCCACTTTCTAGGGATACACATGGGCATTTTGGCCATTGAGCCCAAATGGCTAGTATACAGAACTTCCCGTGTTTAATCTTATTTCCTAGCCCTTTTCCTGTTTTTGTGGCTCCCTGCCTTCCCATTAACAGCTTTGGGTTGTAAGAACAAATTGCTAACCGAGTTTTCTCAATTAAATACCGTACTGTGTAAAACCTGGCACTCCTACCTGATCTAATCCCAAAACTATCAGCCCTTTAATCTCTACCAGAAGGATTAAGTCACATGTCTTTGGCAGAAAAACCACATTGTGAACGGAGAAGGCTTTGAGCGGAGAAGTAGTCAGAATTTGTGTTTAGGGCATAGTTGATTTTCTCTGTTTTCAAAGCTTTCCCCACAGGGACTATGTGATGTGAGAACAGGGCTAACCATCAGTTCTGATGTACACTCTGTTTTCTTTCTGTTCCTTTGCGCCCAAGTGAACTGCCTCACTCACCCCAGAACCTCCTGGCCAGCCTCAGCTCTTCCCACAGCCACTCCGTGACGCTCTCGTGGGTTCGGCCCTTCGATGGAAACAGCCCAGTCCTCTACTACATCGTGGAGCTGTCTGAGAACAGTAAGTGCTGAAGCAGAGCTGTCACCGTGGACAGTCTTCAGGTTCTGGCCCCAAAGAGTAGAAAAATGTGATGGTGCTTTACGGAGTTCAAAGGAAAACCCCCACCTTGGCTTTGGGGAAAGATAGAAGGTGCCGTGCAGAGGCCAGAAGGGATGAGAAGGAAGCACAGGGGGCCTCCCGTGAGAGTCTGGATCTGGGGCCTGAGGCCCCAGGGTGAACTTGGACATGGGGAATAAAGCGCCCCTAGGGCTGGTTGGGAGCCAGCCACAGTACGAGTTAACGTGTCTGCATGTCTCCTCTGGCACAGATGCGGGCTAAGTGTTCCTGGCCTTTGCTTTCTCCCTTCCTCCTCCTTGTGGCCTTGGCCAGCAGGAACTGGCTTTGCTCCTGGCCCATCGCACTCCTTCTCCTCTCTCTACGGGCCATTGGCTCCTCTCCTGCCCCCTGCACTCTCTTCTCGGGAAGTCAGGTGCATCGCTGTGATTCCAGGGCAGTCTTTTCCTTGACATCTTGGTTCTCCAGCGTCCTTATCCTTCAAAGTCATGCTCGGGGCCTCGTTCCTCCACGTCTCTGTCCAGTGGTCTCCCACACACTTCCGGAGTGAAGTCAGCTCCTTTTAACCCTGACTGTCCTTGCCGCCGTGGTGCGGACTTTCTCATCTCCCTGAGCCCTGAGGCCCCCTTGGTGACGAAGGCCAAGAACAGCCCTGAGCCCCTTTCTCCTCACCCAGCTGCACGCCTACAGCCACGGCTCAGCCCCCCAGCCGCTTTGTGTTCAAGGACACAGCTCTGCAGGCCCCGGGCTTTGTCACTGGGACAGCCTCCACCTGGTGCCCCTGCCTCTTCTCTTCTCTTCCAAAGCATTCTTACACAGGCCGGAGTGCCGGTCTTCTTAAGTATGTACGGTGGATGTGTCTCCCCCGTAAACCCCACAGGCCTCAGAAGGAAACCTTCCTCGGAGCCTGAGCAGTGTCACCTGCCTCCCCCGCCCAACAATGCTCTGTGCCGGCATGTGCCAGCCACGCTGCTTTCACGGGCCCCGTTTCCCTCAGCTGGAACGCTCGCAGGGCCAGACTGCCACCCTTCACTATTACCTCCTCCAAGACGCTTTCCAGCATGCTGGCTCAGCCTAAGCTTTCACTACCCAAGCCAGCGGCCTCCCTCAGCCGTGATTCCAGACTCCTCCCCGGGCCTCCCTCAGCGGGGAGCTGGCTCCTGTGATGGTCAATGTCATGGGGCCCTGGCTTATGTCACTACAACGCTGTTATCATAAAGGGGCCCCTGTCCCTGCCCCAGTTGGGGGTGGTTCTCTCTCAGGGTGCCCTCCCCTGAAACCAGAGGCAGCCTGGCGGAAGGCCACATGCTCGCCAGCCCGCTCAGCTCCGCAGGCAGAGACCCCTCCCGTTCCTGCAACCACTCTTCTCAGGCGCCCGCCGACCCTCACGCTCTTCCTGTAATTATTGACTTAACTCACCGAGTTTCTCCTAATTATCCGCTACACTTACCCGTCATCCCAGACGCTATGTCCTCCTTCTGATCACCACATGCCCATGCCCCAGCAGGCACTGTTTGATGCTCATTTTACAGCAAGGGAGCCTGACATGCGGAGTAAGTCGCTGGCCCCAGGTCACACAGCTAGCCGTGGGTGAGGGTGGGACTCCACCCAGGCTGTCTGGCTCTGGAGCCCCCGCTCTTAATGAGGCATTTACAAAGACGTCTCCTGGGGCAGATGCTTCTCTCTCGCACCCCGGTGGCGCATAGTGGAGGTGAATGCATCGGTACCCTTGAGTTTCTGTCTGTGTGGAGATTAAAGGGAGCTGCTCCATGAACATGCCTGTATTTGAGTCAGGCACCTCCCAAACCAGTCCACGGAGGACCGTCCCAGAAGCAGTATTTTAGTCCCAACTCCTGCGTTTCTAAATTTATACCCTTGGCAACGATGGCCTCTGTTTTGAGCACCATCTGAGTGCCCGATGCCCAGGCCCTGCTTCCCATGATGGCCAGTCTGGTCTCTTTCCTCACATTGGGGGTCAGGGTGTGAATGGGAACCCTGTACCCTGCCATGCACTGTAGCTTTGGCTCAAAAGCTCCTGTCAAAGAGGGAAGGCATTGCATTATTTACTGAAAACACCTTTCTGAGAAGATAAGGTTTTCCTCAGGGTGTCCTGGTCATGCACCCTGTAAGAAAGGTGAGGCTGGACAATGGTCTGCATGGAGAGAGACAGGAGCAGAACTCCTGCCCTCAGGGCTCAGACAGAGGCCACCCCCACCAGGCGTACCTGTTCTCGAGGCCAGACGCGAGACTCATTCCTATCTGTATCCTGGGTCCCCAGCTCTCGGTAGGCACTCAGCAGGTGAGCTGACACGGGTCCCTCTGGTGGCGTTCCTTTGTGATGGGCTCAGGTTACAGTCCTTGACCCTTTCCTCAAAGTCAGTGCTCCACTGTCCTTGGTTTCCTAAAATAAGCCACTGCTTCCAACTGTCACACCCGCTGTTTTCTCACCCAGCTGCACGAGCTCTCGGTTCTTGCAGTCAGGCGTCCTGCTTGACTAGGAAACGGATGTCACGCACGGTCATGCATCCCACCCATCTGTCCATTGATGCCACACAAAACCTGATTGGGCACCTGCGTCACACCGAGCACTCTGCCACGTGCTGGGATACAGAGCTTAGGCGATCAGTCTCCCCTCTTTAACAGCAAGGAGAAGGTCAGATTCATCACGGCATCCTGCCCCGTAATTAGCTCCCACTGCAGTACGTGCCAGTGCTGGGGAGTGCCAGGTAAATCAGAGAGCCTCCAAAGGGGACAGCCTGATGCTCGGGCCAGGCATAGCTTGGGCAGCATCAGCCCGAAGCGTAAGCCCCAAGGCACGTCCAGAAGCATCCAGCTTCCACAGAGACTGCGATGGGGGGTTGGGCCGGGACAGCGCCAGGTTGTGTGGGAACTCATCCTCATTCTTCATGCCCCAGCTCAGATTCAGCTTTCCTCCGTACCTGTCCTTGGCCCACAGCCCCTTCATGCCCAGGAAGACTCTCTTCATGAGGCAGTTCTGACCTCAGGGTCCCCATGCCACTCCCTGTGTTTCCCCTTGAGTATTTAGTACCACGTGTAATAGTTACTGGCCTGCAGGTGTGTCTTCTGGCAGGCCTATGAGCCCCTTAAGGGCGAGCTGGGCCCACTACTTCTTGTACCCATGACGGCCAACAGAGAGCCTGGCTCTGTGGACATCCAGTCCCTTCACATCACTGCACGGCATCCCAAGAACATCATTAGTCCCTCATTAGCCTCTCCTGCCTGGACCTTTCTGGAGCTGGCTGAGACTCCTATCGTCTCTTCCTTCAGAGTGCATGATGGAGAAGAATCTAGAGTATTCTACACTATTATTTTTGTCCTAAGCATTATGATTATTACACGAAAAAGCTCAAATGGATAAGGTGGTCATCTCTGGGCCGATCCTGATTTCTCCTGCACCGGATACAATGGTGGGCTCTGCACACGCAGTCCATGCTGTTGATCTTCTGGCCATGGCCAGCAGGAGCCTAGCACTGTCCCCTGGGCCAAGGATCTGCTTTTGATTTTTATTAGGAAGCAGGGCCCTTAAGAAACAGCCAAACATGCTGGCTAATTATGGTCAGAAAGAACAGCTTAGCAGCAATACACTAAAATGGAAATCATATTTGGCCTGCACTCCATGCTGTGCAAGTGGACGATTCTAAATAACTCTGCAGCAGTCCATCCACCCGGCTACTTGGGACTCCGTCGACAGCCAGCCTCTCCTGGCAGGCTGCTCAGGATGCCCTTCTCCTGGAAGCCCAGCCTCCTGCAGGGGCCAGGCTGGCCTGGTTTATGGGGGCGGAGTGGGGGGGCAGGCCCTTTGCCGCACCTGCTCTCACCACATGCCAGCCGTTACGAGAGGCCTCTCCAGAGCTTTTATGGAGCAGAACTCCGGAGCTACAACTGAGCCTTTGTCCGTGCATTTGCCTGTAGTTGAAACGCTGTACAGAGAGCGTGTTGGACCCTCGCAGGCATCCTGTGGATCGCCTCATTCTGCGGAGTTTGATAGATCTCCTTGCTGAGCCTGGGCTCACAGAGGAAGCAGTGTCCCAGGCCTGGGGGGCTGAGAACACACGGGGTCTAGTGGGAGACAAGGGAGCCTGGGGGTCCTGGGTTTCGAGAGCGCAGGGGCTTTTACGGCTTGATAGCATGCACCCCATAAACTGGTGGAGAATTCTGGGGAAGAGCTAGAGCATTTGGCCTAGCCTCTTAAGTGCTTGTTGAATTGGATCAAGAATAATCTTTCTTTGAGATTATTACGATAAGGCGGTTGAGTGCCAGAAGACACTGTGAGAGGCTTTGAAGTGGACCCGCAGCCAGATCAAACACAGATTACCACACGGCTCATCCGGCAGCCTTCAGGGCCTGCTGACTCTGTAGAGGCCGGCACTTTTCACTGCTTTTGAGCTGCTTGAGCTGAGCTGCTCGGTAGATCATCTTAGAAAACCAAAGTAATGCAAATAATTCTTGTCCATAGAAATGCAAATACATCGTGTCTCAGTTATCAGTGGTTTTTGAAGTAACTGGTTATCACTCTGTAGATAGTGACCTGCCTCGCTAGCACCTATTTCAAAATTCATTTCGACATTCCTGATTGTTAACACGTGTGCGCTGTTTGAACTCCCTTTTGATACCGTTGGAGCATCTTACTGGTTCCTTAGTGAATTAATGAGCTATCTAAAACCTTTAGGACGCGTTCATTTTGTATTTGGATGAGAGCCATGATTTTATTTTACCTTTTACAAAATGCATCTTTTAAGGTGAGTGGGTTGTCTTCATACAACATTAGAAACACATAGGTTCGTCAGATGCGAGTGTTGCCGTGAGCTTCCGTGGTAACCCGGGTGTCTGGGAGAGGCGGTGCTTGTCAGGCTGAGCCCTTTGTGTGCTCTGCGAGCTGCACTGGACAAAGGCACTCATTCCACCATGGCTCGAATACAGTAGTT